CAGATTCACATTCAAGGTGTTGAGGTTGCCTCCTTAAATTATGAGTTTCTTCGAAAGTGCATTTTTATGCATATTCATATTTCACTCATTTGAAGAAAATTAAACAATCTACAACATGGACTAAATTACATTGTCCGACTCCGCCAGACTTGGTTTAAATCTCTTTTTAAAAATGTGATTTATTTCTAAAAATTTCTTATGCTAGACTGCTTACATTTTCACTTTATTAAAAGGACAACACAATTTTTTTGGACACTTCACATACACAAACACACAATACAAACCACATTGAAAAGTATTCATTTCAAAACTTTTTATTTTGTCCATAAAATTTTAAGTATTCGTGTTTTTAAAATCGCACCAAAAAATCGTAAATTCTAAGCTCATGTAAATGTTAACATCAACAGCTGTTTTTAACAGCTGTTTTCTTCGCAGTGGCGCCATCTATGAAAATTTCTGGTATGCAACATTAAAAATTAATCTATTGTGAATGATATGCAGTTAAAATTATTTAAATCCTTTAACTTTCAAAAAATGGTTTTTGGCCAGAAAAAGTGGTCAAATTTCCTATAGTGCTATGGCTCCTGGTCTGTGGATAGGCCTTTTTCCTCATATATATATGTACATACATACATACATATGTACGAGGAAAACAACAAAAATGCGGGCCACCACTTGTACAAAACTTTTGCACACAAAAATAAAACATTGAAATGCTCTTTTGTCGGTATGCACTGTGTGCTTCGGCCATGGCTTTGGCTTTTAAAGCATACAGGCATTCAAGTATCTCGGGAAGCATCGGTAAGGCATTTAATTTTAAGGGAAAACAATGCCGTTCGAGGCAAACGGTCGAGAGCGATCCACACGAACTTACAGCCAATGGGCAACATTAAAAACTTCCGTTTCCGCTGGCAAACAAGCACAAAAGAAATGCAGCGGAAATGCCACAAAGTTCAAGCAAGAAGAGCCACGCACACTCCAGCCAACAAACAAACAAACCAACAGGAAAACCGCCAAGCAAACACTAACAGCATTAAGGAGCCAGCTAAAGTCCTGGCCGGTTCTTCTTTCCTTTTCCTCTCCCCCTTGATTTTTTCGTAATTTTTTGCCCTACCCTTTGGAGCTGCACACTCATTACCAAAATTGCAATAAATTTTTGTGCAGTGAAATTATTTGAAGTGCCCGCTGCCATCCATACACACATAAAAACGTCCATTCCGAAATTTACGAGAGTGTCCAAGAAGAATGTGCTAAACTTTTATACGCGACCAGGAGACAGGAAAACGTAACTCGTACTTGTAGTGTCAAGTGTTTCTGGGTGGCATGTGGCGCAGTAACGAAAGAGTCCCCCAAAAACAAAACCGCCAGAAAGAAAACGTTTTAATTGCTTTTTGTTTCGTGGGGGAGAGTCTGCTTCCGAGGTTTCAGTCTATACAGAACCGAAGCCAAACTGTCGTGATCGATGAGTTATGGGCTTGTGGGGGAAAATTGAAATTTCGGCAGCTGAAAAGTTTTTGGGGGCAAAGGTTTAAATGCTTCCTTTAAGTGGTTAAGTCACTTGCAATTTTAAAGCAGTTTTATTTTATTTTAATTTATTTAAAAATACTTATTCCCCTTTTAACCAAAAGGCTTATATAAAATTTCTGCTAAAGAGAAAATGTAATTGGCGGGAGCCCTGTTTAAGGACAAAAGAATAAGCCGACAGGCTCTGTCACTGTGCCACCCACCACTGCAATCCTTGCCATATTGATACTCTTTGTGTGTGTTTGGCTCATGGCATTCAATTTATTCATATATATCACTTTTTTTGTTGCACACGCAATGATTTATTAATGATGCTTATTATTATTGCTTAATTGCGGATATTTGCATTTGCACACAGACACAAAAACACATACGGGAGTGCGCGGGAAAGGACTCTGAGGGATGCAGAAGGCAGTGCACCCTTGTGCGCAGTGCAGCTGCGGATTTAATTGGTACCAAGTGAAAACATTCAACCAGTTTTCTGGTTGCGATTACCGAAACAATTTCAGAGCCACGCTCTGATTATATTCAATAATGAAATTTAAATAAATTTGCATTTAATGACATACCCATACACTGGCTTTCGATACAATACGCATACACGAATGCGCCTACCTAGACGCATTTTTGATATGCGGTTGGCTTTTGTGCGCTCAACTTGAAATTGTTTCGCTCTTTTTGTACACTTTTCACGATTTGGGCTTTCAGCGTGCTATGAAATTTTAATTAATTCGATTAAGTAGCGGATTTTCCGCTAACAAATTGCATACGAAATGCCACAATGGATTAATCAGTGAAGACAGTTACCAGCGACTGATGAAAGAATTAATATTTAATTGCCAAAGAGATGTTCAATATTCATTAAATATTCAAACGAATTTTAATGTATAAAATAATTAATTGAATCAAAGTTCAAGTATGGCTAATTTGAAAGTAGTTTCATATCTTTTTTTCACTAATTAGTTCGCTCATGAAAGACAGACTTAAGCCATCAAGTCAGGAGATGATTTTCCCTTTTAATTTGCATAGGCCGATAAATACTATAATCAGAAAAGGATCAAGGGGAAAATGAAAGATTTTCGTTTACACTTAGGAAAATATTAGGTTTATAAAATCATTTCTATATGCAATTTTTTTCTTTAAACTATTTTTTCCTGAAAAAATACTTACATTTTCCACTTATTATTTTTTTTTTGTAAAACAACTCTTTAATACATGTATTTTTTGAAAAGGATAACTGGACATCCACCCGTTAATCAACACACTCAGACTCCCATATAACTGAGCAGACTTTATGTGCATTGTCTCGCTTGATTATACGTTGCACCCCCACTCCACAGAGAAGGCGGCGAATCTGATTCTTATGCAGGTTTTTTACGCGTCCGCGACATGCAGACACATAAATTTAACAGGCAAGCTCGACCCCCTCGCCCAACGCCTCTGGGAACAATGCCTGGGAGATTTTTTGCTACGAAAAAAGGGGGAGGCCACTCCACCTCGTGCCCCTGAAATATTTATATGGTAATTTGCGTCTCGAAATGCAACCTTTAAGGTGGTCGCAGGACGGTCAATGGGGGCATTAAAGCAAAAACAAATGAAGAGCATAAAAGTAAATGCGAAAACGAAAACGAAAACGGAGCGTGTTAACCAACCCCAATAATTTAAGCAGAATTTATGGCATTAAGCACAGCGGCCAAAAGATACGCATAATAGTCGAGGAGGACCTTGGTCAATGGCCCATTGGTTTGGTCCATTGCCTGCCTGTTATTCTTTTCCGCTCGCTCATCTAATCCTTACAGGACACACGCACAAAAGGGGGAGGCGGCCACGACGGCCTCCGAACATAAATCAAATGCCAACACACTGCTCTTCTCAATGTGTGTATGTGTGCGTGGTTGTGTGTGGTTGGGTGTTAATTAGTATTTAATCTATGAACCATAAATAAATCCCTTCTGCAAGGACACTCAATTTCCGTTTGCTTGAGCATAGAAGTGGGTTGCCTCGGTCGAGTCTGGTGGCAAAGAGGAGAAAAATGCCTTTTGTGCTGCTTAATAAATTGCCAATTGTGTGTCATAGAAGTTAAGTCAACTAATTGCACAGTTTGCGATTCTTTTTTGAGAAGCTCAAGTGGTGTGAAGACGGGAGATGGAGAGTTAAGTGTTGTGTTTGGATTTATATTGGTTTAGAAAAAATGTTAAGCTACAAATATTTGGATACTCTACCTCTAGTTTCTATTAGAAGACTATTAATACTTGCTTTTATACAAAAATATCATTTTTTTCAAGCCTTGGGACCTCTTTGTTATAAGCAAAAATAGTATAGCATACTTTTCAGGGCTCGTTAGGGTATGATGTGTTTTGTTATGGGTGCGTTAAGTGGCGTCAAGTGTGTGTCTGTGTCATGGGAAAAGTGTCAATAAAACAGTTTAATTGATTGTGCGCTAAGCTGTTGCCAAACATTGGCAGTTAACCCCCCAGACCACCCCACCCCACGCTCAAACACACACACACAAGCACATTGTGGGCTATAAAAGTATTTTCATTTGGCGCCATCTGTTGACAGCGCGCGAGAGGTTCGCCGGCAAACTAATGCTTGACATTTGCATTGCAAATTGCGCATTTTGAAAAGCGCGACAATTACAGCTCACACTCCCCAATCCCACGCCCTATGTCCCAGTCCCACACCTAAATGTCTTCGAAAGCAATTAGCGATTAGCAAGCGAAACTTTTCAACTTTTCCCCAACGCGACGATGAGCAAAGAAACCAAGCGAATTGTTCGTATGTTTCAAACTCTACATTAGTTTGATTTGCATTCGGTTCATTTAATTTCAACGCTTTCGCGTTTTTTTGTTGTGTCTTAATTCCTTCTTGTTTCGCATTCGATTGCGCCACCCACGATGGGGTTTTTCCCATTTGCATTCACAATTGCTCATTGATTTTCACATTTGAATTTTCTCATGGCTTTTAAATGCATTTGGCAATTTTCTGACTTGCCGTTTTAATTGTGTGTGCATTAAAATCAACGCAATGATGCATTTTTAATTCAAATTAAAAATCGCTTGCACCATCAACGATTTTATGCAAAAATGTCCTCTGGCAATCCCACGAAGAAAGAAAATCCGTGAAAGCTGCTTGGAGGGGAAATGGAATTTGGTTGGTTTGGTTTTTGGTTTTCGGGTTTGTGGGGAAGCATAAAAGATTCTGGGTCGCGACAATTTAATTTGGTAAAGCAAAAGTCAATTAATTTGAGAGGAATATATAATCAGATTAAGGACAAAAAACGGGAAAGCAAAAAGGAAAAAAATACGAAAACACATACACGGTAAAGTTTGAAATTCGGACGAATTTTGACAATCCAAGTATGTTCTCTTATAAATTTTTCAGGTTTTGTTCGACAATCTTATTATTCAGTGCCATTTACACTATCAACACGCTTCAACTACACATAACACAAACTACACAACCATTTAAAAAAAATATTTTTAAGTTATAAAAATGAATACACAAGATAATCCACAGAATTCGCAACCCAAGACTGATCCCTTAATATATCACCATCCACAAGTAGATGAGTCATTCCTCCATGGGCCCTCGAAACTAGACGAAGTGTTTGAATGTTTGGATAACATCATGAACGCCAATAAGACGGAGTAAGCCTTAAGGGAAATTTAGTTTTAAATCATTTATTTAAAAATTAACTTTCTAGTTCATCAAAGGAGACAAAAAAGACATCCTTTTCTAGTGCAGCCTCCAATGTCACGGATACTAACTTCTTAGTTTGCAGCAAGCCCATCATTTGCCGCTCTTCTGTGAGGCGGTCCAAGCCTAAGAAAGTTCCGCTAAACACAAACCAATTCACATTCATGCGGCAGATCGATTGCGATCCGGAGGACCGAATCCTAGCCAGAGAACAGCGAGAGGTGACGGCCGAAACGTTTCGCAGGATGGGTAACTTTGAGTATCGCAAAATGAGATTCGATTCGGCCGTGGCCTTCTACACAAAAGGCCTGGAGTACATAAAGGATACTCCTGTGTTGTATGTTAATCGAGCCATATGCTACATAAAGTAAGTTCTTTAAATATCAGCCTTTAGTTATTTAATAATTCTGATCTCCCTCCAGAATGCGTGAATTTAAGCGAAGCATTATGGACTGTGACTATGTAATCAACCACATAGATGAACAATACCTAAGGGCTTGGTTGTATCGGGCAGCTGCATATAAGCGTCTAAATGATGAACCGAACTTTGAGGCTAGTATTTACCAGGCCAAGAGGGAGAACTACACAGAACATGAATACATCGATGATTTTGTAGACAAAATGCGCTCTTTACTCTAGTAATCGAAATTTAAAATGAAGTTTGAAACAATAAAGTATCCCTTAAGGGCTTAATTAATATAAGAATCATTTAACACTTTGACTTCAATTCACTTCCGGGATTACTCCATTTCCGCTTCGAACACCTCTTAAGCTGCTTTCTCACAACACTCAGTTGATTAGCCCCTCTGATTTTTCACCTTTTCCTTCTGCCTTTTCACTTTTTCTAATTAACAGCCAGCTCATAAAAGAAAAACTCCAGCAAATTGATAAAGGATGAAGGTAAGATAGCTCGAAAAAAATCCCATTGAGAAAATAAATTGAAAAAGAAAAACTTTTGTTCAACTTTCTTTTATAACATTTGACTTTTTCAAGGTGAGTCCGTGAGACATTTATTTTGCGATTTAATATTTCTTCCCTTCATTCCATTTGGTGTCTCTGCTAGGCTTTCTGGCTTTCCATAAACTGCACTTCAGATGTCCAAAAGCAATTCTGTAAAGTCTGATAATTCCATCTGACTTTTAGGTCCTCGTTCTGTGCCTTCTGCAGGCCATTAAGGCGAATGTCGACCGGCAGAAGTTGACCCAAATATTACTCAGCACATTCGTAGGCAACAAATTGCGACTCGGACTACGTTTTGAAGCTAATGTTCAAGTGGATGCTGGTACTGGGTACTGGGTACTGGATGTGGCCATGAAGCTGAAACTGGTGCTGGTTGGGCTTGAATTTCCTCAGTTTCTCTCAGTCAATTTGATTTTTTAATTAAATTTATTATGGCAAACAGCATAAAATTTTATGTGGTTAGTCCATTTCTGGGTCACATTGCTAATGATTCTTTGGGGCACAGAGATGTCGGAGATGCAAGTTGCAGGCCGATGCAGGGTCCTTGAATTCTTGACAGTAATCTGCTGCTAATGCCTCTTCGTTTCTGGCTCTTGTGTTTCTCCTTGGTGCGGTTGTTTATTTAATTTTGTCTTTTTTATTAAAATTTAATTTGCTTTTGGGTTTTGTTACCATGTTTTTTTTTCAAATAAAAGTTTCAATATGTTCTGCAATATTAAAGATAAATTAGTCTTATATTGTGTTTCCGTCCAGTTTCTTTCAATGTTTCTCCGCCTCTTTTTAAACAAATTGAAATTAATTTAGGCTTTAATAAATTTTCCAATAACTGCCACGCACCTGAGCCCTGGATTCGCTCTTCCACTTGCCGGACATAAAATAAAACAAAGTTTAATTGAGGGCAGGAGAAAAGCCAAAGGCAGGACTAAGGCTAAATGTTTATGTTCGGGCCGTATCTTTAAAAAGATATATGTACGCTCGAATGGGCCACGCACCATTTACGAGTCTGTGGCGCCTGTCGAGCGTACACACTGCGTATACGCAACATGCAAGCACAAAACCGAACACATTGCGTATACGCATCATGCAGGCACCATAAACCTTCGCAAATAAAATGTGTTTAATTGTATCAAAGAGAAAAAAAGCAGGAGAAGAGATGAAAAAAATAACGAAAATATATAAAAGTGAAGGGGCGCGGGAGACACTGGCTAAACAAGTGGAAAGTCCCGGACCAAAAGGTAATTAAAGCTGATCTGTCCAGGACACTGGCAGTGAAAGTTTCTACAGTGCTACATTGTTAGTTCAATCGCACGGAATAATTTATTAATTAACTACAATTCGAATGAATGAATGAACGATTACGAGACGGAGTTGGAGATGGAGTTGGTCGTGGAATAGTCCATGGCGAGCCAGAAGCGACAAGTCCAATTCGCCAGAGCACGTAACAGGAAAATCAATTAAAAGCGCTTTATGTACGCGACAGTCTTCGTTTTCCTCGAACTTCGAATACTTCCACTTGGACTCCGACTGTCGCCTTCGATTCTATTCTCTTCGATTCCTTTCCGATTCGATTCGATTCGGTTCGCTTGGGTCTTCTGGGCGTTCTGGGACAAGTTTAGCGCCTGCCAAGTGGAACTTTGTTAGTTTCTAATTAATTGTTACAGTTACCGACGAAGCTGGAATTGACTGCAGCAGCAGCTGGTACCTATGTTCGCCGACTCCACCTCTGAGTTCCATCTGCTACTGCCAATTTTAGCATCCCTGGTTATTTATGTCGAGTGCTTGGCATTATTTATGCTGCATATTGGGCGCAGTCTACTAAATTAAGCAGGGGAGACAGGCGATCCTACACCGGCGGAGCCACAGATGGCAGTCTCCTTTTTCGTGTTTATTGGAAATGTCACAATAACTTTACAGTTATGACAATTTTATGGCGCAGATTTGGGCCCTAACGCGGATTCCTTACCCACTTTGGTAGTTTATTGGAGTTCCTGGCCATAATTGAATTTCAGAAAAAATTTTCAATGCTTTATTGGCTATTTCTTATTTAATTAAAATTGATATTCTATAACTTGGTTCTACAACACATTCAATCAATTTTCCATTCCAGATTATCTCTAGAATTATCTCCACATAAAGCTTTTACTCAATACCCTATTCAACTTCATTTCAGTTCAAATATGGAAGAGTAACCCTCGGAGTAATCTTTAATCTTTCATTCACTTTTCTGGCTTTCAGTTTTCGCAAATGGATATCCAATCATTGGCCATCTCCGCAACCGGGAGAACATTTTCGATAATTACCCGTAAAATGCCGAGCTCCCAACAATTGCCAACACTTTTCACACACACACTACCAGACTCTCAATATCCTTCGTCGATGCCAATTGAATGGAATCCCCCATGTTCATTTCCGATTTGATGGCCATAACCAGGAAGCCTTTGCCGCCAGCCTCGACTCCTGTCAATGGTATCTCAATAGTATCAATACTCAAATACTCAGCTAGGCGCCAAAGTCAAGCCATGAACTAGAGAAAGGAGCACTCGGCGAGAGGAAAAATAAACGCCAACGGAAACGGAAAAGGCTTAACAGCTGCGCTCACCCGGACACTGAAAGATGATGATGACGATTTCCAGAAGCAGGCAGTACGGGGTGGAAAAAAAAGAGTCGGAGAATAAAAGGCCAAGAGGAACTGGGCTGGACACTCTCGAAATCCGTAAGCGCATAATCATGAAAATTGTCAGTACATAATGCCTCAAAAGGGCCGATAGCCAAGCCGAAAAGGCGGAAAAGGTTTTTACTCGCAACTTTACTTACTTTACACGCTTGACTTTCAGGGTGGCCTCGATTGGTGACTTCGATGTGGCACAGTGGTTAAATATTGGTTTAGAAATGATAAATTCAACATTTTTTAATATTTTTTCTCGAAATTATACTATTTATTGAGGCTTTCTTTCCACTATTTTATATATATTTATGTATTAAAACACCTATGTCCTTTAGAGGACACTGTCTCCCCCTTGCAGAAATTTGTAGAGCGGAAAGTAATTTTCTTGCGCTTTTTATTCGCTCTCGTTTTTTATGGGTCGATTTTTCCCTCGCCCCTCGGACCTCTCCCGCCTCATCGCTTCTTGGCCTCTTATGTCCTGTACTGTCCTCGTATTAGCTTCCCATCTCATCCTCCAAAGCAGAGCATCAGCAGCAACAACAAAACTGGATAGAAAGCAAAAGAAAGTTTACTTTCACATGCCGGCCGCACTTTGATTTTGTTGTCGGACTTTTTTATTTTCGCTTCGAATCCATTTGTTGTTGCTTTTGATAATGGTCGATGGGGAAAATTCTTTGGCTTTTGGCTGCTTGACTTTGCTGGCTGCTGGCGTTGGCAAAAATCAACTTTTGCACGTTTCGATTGTGTAAAGTTTTTATGGCTTTTTGATTTTTTTCACTTATTGCTTTGGCCGGCCGACTGAGTGTGAGTCTGTTGATGGGCGTGTCTGAAGGTCCTCCGGCAGGACCTCCTGTCATCATCAATAAGGTGCCTCATTGGAGGCACTTAAATAATTACAAAATAATGGATGCCAATGGCAAAATGTCGAAGACACTTCTTTGCCATTTTGAGGGGGCGCCAAAGGGTAACCCGAAGATGGGTTCAAGGAGCTTAATGCAAATCGTGCCCAAGTGCCACTGACTCGGTTTGAAAACTCTTTCCCATCATCGGGTGAAAGTAGTCGCTCTCTTGGGGGAAATCGGAAAAATCGGGCAAAGGCAAAGGTGAACTGAGTAAAAGGGGTTGCGAGAATGATATGCAAATATTTTGTAAAGTGAAAATCAGTAAAAGTGCCACCGGGAAGAAGGCCTCTGTTTGTTGTCACTTTGATTTGTTTGCCTCATTGTAAATATTTAATGGAGCTGAAGTAAGAGCAAGGGAGTCGAGATGTCTCACCGGATGTGCGATAAAGTTATTTGATTTGATTTTCTTCATTTTTAAAGCCTTTACACTCTCTTTAAAAGTTGAAAATAAAGAAGCCTATCTTGGAAAACTTTTCAAGCCATCAAATTTAATAAATAAAATAAATTCGTTTTTTAAAGCCACAATCAAGTGCACTGAATTTATATTTTTATAAGTCTTTATAATTTTTTTTTAGAAAATATTCCTTTCCTTGTTATTTTCCAAATATTTGTTTAAAAAAGAGCTTTCCACTTGAAACCCCTTATGGACTCCAACTATGCAACCCGATTGTAACAACCCCATTTCATTTCCCCCGAGGTGGAGCATCCGCATTCTCACAAAAAAACCTTTTATTGATAACGAATTTACGAAATTGCTGCCTTGGAATTGCTTAAAATATTAAAAATTTATTGCCAACTTCAACTCCTCTTTGCTGTTTGTTTTGTTATTTTTTTGTTGGCACTTTTTTCAAGTCGAAATAAATAAAATTAAATTATATGCGAAATGTATGAAAAAAACACGAGCAATTAAAAAAATAAACACGATAGTAGGCATTTTACACACAGTCCCAAAAAAAAAGAATTCAATAAAAAAGTGCCGCAACAAAAGATAAATAAATACATTTTTGTGCATCGAAATGCGATTGAATGGTATTTTTATTTTTGCATATATATTTTTGTATATGTTTTATGTATCGCTTCAATGTTTTACAATATCCACAATGCTGGACAGCAAATATTTTAAATGTTGGCAGTTTTTATTTATTTTTTCCTGTTTTGCTGGCAGTGTTTTTCAGTTGTAGCATATCATTTATATTTCAATTTTAATTTATATTCATTTGAATATTTACTCCTGGTCGGTCGGGAGCCCTTGTTGACTTCTTTTTTGGCCACTTTATCGGAAAAAGCTCATAAGTTAATAGAGGCCTAGCCAGAAATGCAAGTTAAACATTGTAAAATCAATTGGATTTAACAACCAGCTCCTTCATGTTGTTTGTTTATTACATTGCAATGGAAATCCGTTTGCTATCTCAATCACTGGCCAAGGATTTCCATAAATGGGTCATTTTTGTTTACCTTAAAAAAATAAACTAGGTGACTAGTACAACAGATTGTTTGATGTTTTCCTGACAAGGGATCTATATAGTGTTATACTTTATAGTTTAATATGCAAATGGGATTCTGGACCGCACCCAGCAATTAGCCATCAACAAGTTCTCTGGGCAATACTTTCCGTATTTACTTATGATTATCATGTTGAATCGCCTCCCACTCCAAACAGTGCCAACCAATTCTGATTTCCCTTTGAGCTCCTGCGGTTTTCCGGCAAAAGTTCTGCGGTCGCGTTGGGCTTTGATTTGCAAGCTGCGAATGCGGGCGGATGGGTCCCCTTATATTTTAGCATATTAAATTAAAGCAAATGGCTGTGATGGCTGGAATGGCAGTGAGCGAGGCGTAGAACAAACCAGACAGCCACAAGCTGCCGGCTGAGTGATAAATTTAAGTGCTGGCGTCTAAATAAGTGATGTCTTCACTCTGGAACAAAAAAAAAAGCACGGGCTTAACTTCTGGAGTTGGATGGGCTGGGGGCGGGAAAAGTACAAAAGCCCAAGCCGCGACTGAGCTGCTGAATAAACAACTTTTGCATTTGCTTTCATGAACTCCAACTGGAAATCGGCTTAGAAGACATCTGGCAAACGTCATTGCCATTGTTATTTATGCTCCTTGCACTGAGAATATTAGTTTGCTTTCTGAACTTTTTAATTTGCCAAGCTATTAGTCATCAAGTCTTATATTAAAGTTTTTTTTGAAAGTGTTTCAATTGATTACCATATCACCACTTTAAGGAATTTACAAACCTGCCAGTGCAGCTGCTTTTTGACTTCAACACACTTGCAATTATTCCCATTAACTTATAAATGGAGCTGTTCCACAGCCCGCAAGTCATTCCGCACTCTTCGCCGCAATGAAAGGTTGGATTTTAATACTTTTCGGAGCCTGCCTTTTGAGCCAAGCTCTGTCTGCTAAAATAGACTACTGTTCGACGCCCTATTGCGGATTCAGAAATGTGGCCTGCCATAACAATGTGGTAAGTATTAGGTGTCATCAGATGAAACCCTTCTTTCACCACCATGGCATTACAGTCCTTTAGCAGCTGCCCCAATCACCCACAACTTTTGAAGATGAACAGATATATCACTCGTTTCGCCGAAACTTTAAATGCGGCGCGAAATAAAGTGGCCACTGGAAAATTCAGAAATCTTCCCGTAGCTGCGAGGATGGCCAAGGTGGTTTGGTCCCAGGAACTGTCCTGGTTTGCCCAGCTGATGTTGTCCAATTGCAACCCCGACCCTCACGAATGTATGAGCTCTCCCAATTTTTATTATATTGGCAACATTTACGAACATAGTTCCGTCCCTATTGAGATGGTAACTTTTACGAACTTTGCCATTTTGATGGGAATGTTGGAGAGCTGGCTAAAGGACATAAAGGGCATTCCAAAACGACACACTCTGCGATTGCCCTCCAGCATGCCTAGGGCGTAAGACTTATACTACTTACTTTAATTGTATTTTCTTAATTTTTCTTGTATTTTTAAGATCTACCTTGGACTCGGCTCTGATGATCAGTGAACGTCTCTCACATTTTGGATGTGCAGCTGTCCTTTCCGAAAACTCTGAGAAGCGGGACTATAATTTCATGTGCACCTTTGCCACAGATATATTTCCCGGCCAACGGCTGTATAGTTGGGGCCGGACGCCCGGCTGCCACTGTAAGCAGTTGGATACACGCTTCAAAGGATTGTGTTCCACTAAAGAGGAGTATTATAACAACAGACCTTCAAAATTCGGAGGCAGCATGTTCATTTAGTATTGCGATATTTTTGAATTAATATAAAAGATTAAAACTATTCTATTTGGGTTTGATTTTTCATTGAGTTTGAATCACTGATGTGTCATCTTGGCTTCCAGCATCCATAATTCACCTCAGTGAGTCGGAAAACCGCCGAAAATCCAACAAAATAAAAATCAAACAGCCACGAAAACCTCGACGTGGACACTTACTCGCGAATCCTTGCTCCATGCATCATCTTTATCCTTTGAAAGCCGGTTCGGACGTTGGCTTTAAATATTTCATGGCCTGCCGAATGGCCTGGCGACAAAGCTGAAAAGGGATCAGGGGGAAAACGGTGCTCGACGAGGAGAATAAAAACCAAACGGCACAAGACGATGCCACATAAATAATGTAAAAAGTGTGAAATGCGCCTAATGGTGTGCCAAGCCGAAGGAAAAGCGGATCGAGAGGTGGGACAGGACTCGGGAAAGCACACGAAATGGCGCATAAAATGACAATTGACAGCTGATGATATTTTTGCTTGGATGCGCCGTCTGGAGCCGTCCTCAACCTTTCATGTATATCATAAATATTTAATCGAACAGCCAAACATTCAGTCTATGTAACATTTTCGTTTCTTGTTGCCAGGTGACATGACATAAGAGCAAATACACAAGTTCAGTTATAGTTTCAAACTTGAAAACAAACTCGGATTGATTTCTTACTGATACCGCCAAAAAACGATCGCAGTACTTCGATTGAAAGAATATGACATGCAAAAGCTGTCCCAAGGACGATGAGCTGGGCTCCTTTTTTCCGGGATGCTTTGAGCGCGTCAGCGGCCATTGCACCAAGAAGAATCCCGGAAATGTTCAGAATCTACACATCCTGGCCCACCGGGTGATGCCCAAGTTTTTCGACGGCATTGAACTGGATTATCTACACCGCCTGGCACCCAACAAGTACATTACCGCTTCCTGGGTCCTGAGTCACGTGAGACCGGCCGGATTCCGCTTCGGCGGACTCTACACATTCCGGGTCAAAGATGACACTATGGTGAGCTAATTGGTGATAGATTTATTATATTTTTACATCGTTTTTTCCCCTACTAGTTCTCTCCCACTATTATGGGAGACATCCATCCAACATCCTTGGCCGCCAACCTGAACATCCTGTACTATCCTTTCGCCTCGCTGCGCATGGAGGCCGTAATGCAAAAGGCCAACGTGGAGAGTCCGGTGGAGAGTCAGTACACGATCGAGTGGACGAGGCCGTGTGACACCTGGACCGCCAACTTCTACAACGTTCGAAACGAAAACGGACGCTGTACGCTCTCGATGATGCGATCCGTGTCCGCCCACTGGGCCCTCGGGGGGGAGATACTCCTCGAGTGGAACGAGCCAAAGAAAATGAATACGGACCTAGCCGTAGCAGCGCGGTAAGTCTGTTCTAACCCTATATTGTATTATCTACTATCACAAAAACCCCTACAGCTATTCCCATCATCATTATTCTTTGGCTGCATCCGCCTCTCGTCTGGGCCTGGACATCAGCTACTGGCAGCGCATCCATCCCCAGATCCAGATGGCGAATCTCCTAGCCTGGAACCGCAGTACGCGCAAAACCATAGCCACCATAGGCTATCAGTGGAACTTCTGGAACTCGGCCGTGCACGGGATGATCGATTCGGATGCCTCCGTGGGTTTTATGTGGACCAAGTGAGTATCATGTTCTAATTCAAATTATAAATTCAAATGTTTAATTATTTTTTGTAGATATTTGCATCATCTGCCGTTGCAAATGGGTTTCAGTGTGGTAATGAGCCTGCCCACCGATAGGTTTGCCTTCGGGATGCGTTTTGTGCTCGATCCGAGCGGGTTGAGGCGCGACTAATGATTTTAATTAATTATACTATTTTTATCATATTACCAAATTATCAATCAAATATCATAGTCCAGAGTTAAGAGAATTACAAATTTACTGTTTGGAATTTTAAAGTATTTATTTCTTCTACTATATTAATTTTTAGCTTGACTCTTAAATACATTTATGCCAGAGGCGGAAGTGACTCTCAAATGTAAGTACGGAACCCAAATGCAGTTCTGGCTTGCAACACGTTTGTGCAACACATTAAGGACCAACACACACACTAGCTTTCGAGCTAAGAAAGTTTTCCTTTTGGCCATAAGAGAAAAAAGCTTCTGGTATGCATTTGATTTATTGGCTGGCAAGTCTAGACACTGTAAATATTTTTTAATGCCAGCTCCGAGAAGCAGAAATCTCGGCTCAAGAGGGAGCTAAGAAATTTATACGTATGTACTTAAGCATGGACATATGTATCTATAAATCTAAAATAAATACAATTTACACAATAAATTTGGACTGCACTCTCAGCTGAGAGCCGGGCATAATTTAGCTTGCAAAAAGATAATGGTTGCTAATCCGATATAGAGCTCTGATACCTCCCCAGATGGTTCACTGCCATGACCCATAAACCAAAGAAAGCAAACAAAAACCCATGAAAATCACGAGAAAGACAAAAAGGAGTTGCCCGGGCCTGGGGCTAAACTTTGGATTGATTTTTGGTCTGGGCCTGGCCAAACAAAACTTTTTTAGCCAACTGGATTTTCTTGGGCAAACATTGGTTGGCTTTAATTTTCATGGGTGTGTCGGATTGTGTTTGTATTGGTAATGCCATGAAAACTTTTCAATCCTCCCACACACGCACTCGCATTCACTTACATGAGCAAATATTAATATTCCAATGAATGCCGAAAATCCTTTCCCACTGCCTATCCCCAACAACCCATCATCAAGAGGGTAAGGCAGTGTAAACTTTTCCCCAAAAAAACCCTCCGGCGATTCTCGTCCCCCTTTTTTCCGCTTATCGACGCCTTTACAAATCATTAGATTTTCATATCCGATGAATTTTACAACAATCTGAGCACAAAAAGAGCCCAGACCGAAACACAAATTTTCTGTCTCCTGCTTTTGCAATTTTTCGGCCTCGATATGTCAATTTGTTGTTTTTCTGCTCTGGCATAATATAGGGAAAAGCTAGTAGAAAGCACTAAGCCCACGATTTTATACCCTAGCATTTCCCTGATATATGTATATCAAGAGTAGAGCTCCTGCGAAAGCCATATCTTTGCCAATTTTCATCCGATTCGTATTCGGAATACCTTAAACGATTTGTACACCAATTCTCCATCAATCTGCTCAAAATCTAGAGACAAATTATTTTTCAGATTTTTTGTCAAATTTTCTGGGGTCCCCCTTCAAAAATCTCAAAAATACATGGAGGAACAATATGAGCCCCAGCGAGAGCCATATCTTTGCCAATTTTCATCCGATTCGCAGTCGGAATACCTTAAACGATTTGTACATTAATTCTCCATCAATCTGCATCAAAATCTAGAGACAAAATATTTTTTAGATTTTCAGTCAAATTTTCTGGGGACTCCCTTCAAAATTCTGAAAAATGCATGGAGGAAGAATATGAGCCCCAGCGAAGGCCATATCTTTGCCAATTTTCATCCGATTCGTAGTCGGAATACCTTAAACGATTTGGACATTAATTCTCCATCAATCTGCATCAAAATCTAGAGACAAAATATTTTTTAGATTTTCAGTCAAATTTTCTGGGGACTCCCTTCAATACCTTTGTGCAACACATTAAGGACCAACACACACACTAGCTTTCGAGCTAAGAAAGTCTCTCCTCTCCAGAGACAGAAGGAACAATATGAGCCCCAGCGAGAGCCATATCTTTGCCAATTTTCATCCGATTCGCAGTCGGAATACCTTAAACGATTTGTACATTAATTCTCCATCAATCTGCATCAAAATCTAGAGACAAAATATTTTTTAGATTTTCAGTCAAATTTTCTGGGGACTCCCTTCAAAATTCTGAAAAATGCATGGAGGAAGAATATGAGCCCCAGCGAAGGCCATATCTTTGCCAATTTTCATCCGATTCGTAGTCGGAATACCTTAAACGATTTGGACATTAATTCTCCATCAATCTGCATCAAAATCTAGAGACAAAATATTTTTTAGATTTTCAGTCAAATTTTCTGGGGACTCCCTTCAATACCTTTGTGCAACACATTAAGGACCAACACACACACTAGCTTTCGAGCTAAGAAAGTCTCTCCTCTCCAGAGACAGAAGGAACAATATGAGCCCCAGCGAGAGCCATATCTTTGCCAATTTTCATCCGATTCGCAGTCGGAATACCTTAAACGATTTGTACATTAATTCTCCATCAATCTGCATCAAAATCTAGAGACAAAATATTTTTTAGATTTTCAGTCAAATTTTCTGGGGACTCCCTTCAAAATTCTGAAAAATGCATGGAGGAAGAATATGAGCCCCTGCGAAAGCCATATCTTTGCCAATTTTCATCCGATTCGTAGTCGGAATACCTTAAACGATTTGGACATTAATTCTCCATCAATCTGCATCTAAATCTAGAGACAAAATATTTTTTAGATTTTCAGTCAAATTTTCTGGGGACTCCCTTCAAAAATCTGGAAAATGCATGGAGGAACAATATGAGCCCCTGCGAAAGCCATATCTTTGCCAATTTTCATCCGATTCGTAATCGGAATACCTTAAACGATTTGTACACCAATTCTCCATCAATCTGCATCAAAATCTAGAGACAAATTATTTTTCAGATTTTTTGTCAAATTTTCTGGGGTACCCCCTTCAAAAATCTCAACAATGCATGGAGGAACAATATGAGCCCCAGCGAGAGCCATATCTTTGCCAATTTTCATCCGATTCGTAATCGGAATACCTTAAACGATTTGTACACCAATTCTCCATCAATCTGCATCAAAATCTAGAGACCAATTATTTTTCAGATTTTTTGTCAAATTTTCTGGGGTACCCCCTTAAAAATCTCAAAAATGCATGAAGGAACAATATGAGCCCCAGCGAGAGCCATATCTTTGCCAATTTTCATCCGATTCGTATTCGGAATACCTTAAACGATTTTGACATCGATTCTCCATTCTTCGTCAAAAAATTAATTAAATTTTTTTGTCGCAGACTCTTTGAAAAATAAGCGGAACCCTCTGATAGGGTATAAAAAGGGTGCTGAGGTGGGAGATGGGGCAGTCATGCATATGCGGACACATTCTCGGTGGTGTCGCCCATTTTATGTTTATTTAAACTTCCCTCGTAGGCGGCAAATGGAGAAATGTATGAAAGAAACACGAGGAATCAGAAATAACAATGGCTGCAGGAAAAGAACAAAGGAAGCGGAGAAAAATATAATAAAGAAATTCTTTTAAATACCCATTTCTCTGAATGTGACTTTCTGACTTTAATAACTTTATGAAATCAATGGAAATACAATTCAGTAAAGAATTTTATATTTTCTTTTTGTAGAATCTTATATTTTCAAGTTTGACAAAAAGGTCTCCAAAATATGTTCTAATAAATTGCCATTTCAACACACAAATAGGTCACAATGGCACTCAGGCATTAAAAACTTTAAAAAACAAGCTTTAAAATAGTACAAATGGAGAAAGGCCACTAAAAAATGCGGAGCCACTGCCACAAAACATAGAGTAAACACAGAAAATAATACTATATATACGAAGGTGCACGTATATATTCTCGGGCCAGAAGTTTTTCTGCTTAAATAGCAAAACAAAAAATTCTAAAAAATACGAAACGCAAAAACAAGCAAAGAAAGGCGAAGGGAAACTTGTTTGCTTGCCACACCGACCAACATTTATGTTTATGTTTTAAGTGAAAGAAAAAAAACGAAAGAAAAACACCGAAAACCAAACACATTTTGCTTGTTTTTGTTTTCCTTGCGTTTTGGGTTCGCCGAGTGGAAAACATATTTAATTAAAGCTATCCGCATATTAAAAACTTTTCCTCGTCCTGCCCTCCCTTCGGTACTTATATTTTACACTCGGCTTGAGATTTTTTCTTTTTTTTTCCTATTGCTACGTACTTTTCGGCTTGCAAACTTAAGCTTGCCACATTACGAAGCATAAACAAGAGTTTTTTCCTTCGAGACGCAAGGGGGTGGTGCAGCAGAAGCTTTAAAAACAAAAGTGCCCCAAGGCGCCAAACGGGGGTCACTCAAGTTTTATAAATATGCAAAATTTTAATGAATTTTTGTTTGCTACCCGCCCGCAAATTGCCTCCCATTCGGCCCCCAAAAAACAGGACCCGGACCGAGTACGACCCTGCAGCACAATATTCGTTCGTTTCAATGGGGGTCTGCCAAACATTTAAGCGGCTTTAAAATGCGGGTCAACTCGTCCGAGCGACGGCGATGGGAAGCCTCTTCGTTCCCGATAAGCAGGCCAAAAGTGGAAATTTTAGCAAACAAAAGGAAAGGTAAGGCGAAAACCAAGAAATGGAAAAGCGAAAGGTGAAAGTTCGCCATATACTAGGGCAACAAGGTGATACCCTTTACAACTCTTTATTTATTATGATAAAAAGGGTATTAAGTGAATATAATATTACTATTTTATTAAAAAAGTGTACTATCTCTTAAATATAAAGTCTTTCATGACAACCAGCAGACTCAAAGATAAAATGGATTCGAGCCAGTAGCTTTTCCTCCAACTTCATTAAGACTGAAAGGAAACTGCCTTGTAATGTGGACCCACACCCACCCCTCACCCGATCATTTCCCGCTCGACCTGTTGGTAATTTCATCTTTTGAGTGAAAGTCATAAAATCGTAATAAAATCAGCCAAACTTTTAATTTAATTGCCAGCGTACTTTTAACAAAAAACTTTTGCTTTTTTTGTTCGCTGCGCCCTTGTTGTTGTTCCAGTTGGGTTTTTCATTTATTTTTCCTTTTTTTTAATTCAATGCCCAGCAGCCGCAAATGCTGTTTGACTTGGGATCGCATTAAACTGGCCAACGCATTAACATAATCACCTCATATGTGGGCGAGTGCCAGTGGGCGGATGTGGCAGCAACAAGTGGCATCTGGCATTTCCGTTGAAT